CATTCGACGTCGTCGGCCTCCAAGGAAGGAGGTCTACTGGTGGTCCCAGGAGCTGGCGGACCTCCGTGCGGCCTGTACACGTGCCCGGAGGTCCTACACGCGCAGTCGGCGGCGTCACCGTGGAGACGGTGAGGAGGACCGGCTTCATGAGGAGTACCGACGGGCGCGGAAAACTCTGAAGCTGGCCATTAGCCGCGCCAAAGAAGAAAAGAGACAGGAGATGCTGGAGGGTCTTAATCGTGACCCCTGGGGTCGCCCTTACCGCGCGGTGCGACAAAAGCTCCGCGCGTCGGGCCCCCCCCTTACGGAGACTCTCCAGCCCAGCTTCCTGCGAGAAGTGGTTGAGGGCCTTTTCCCACAACGGGCGGAGCACACTCCCCCGTCGATGGCCTCCCTGGCCGGAGACGACGGGGAGCTCGGGGAGGATAATGTTCCGCCCGTCCGGGATTCGGAGGTAGGGGCGGCTGTTCTACGGATCCGTTCCAAGAACACCGCCCCTGGGCCAGACGGGGTACCGGCCCGAGTGCTGGCCCTGGCCCTCAACCACATGGCAGACCGCCTCGGGGAGGTGTTCGACGCTAGCTTGGCGTCGGGACGCTTCCCTGAGTGCTGGAAAAGCGGGAAGCTGGTCCTATTGAGGAAGCCGGGACGGCCTGCCGATTCGGTCGCGGCCTATAGGCCCATCGTGCTGCTGGACGAGGCGGGCAAATTGTTTGAGAGGGTTCTTTCTGCCCGCATCGTCCGGCACCTCTGCGAGGTGGGCCCCGATCTGTCGGACGCCCAATTTGGTTTTCGGGCGGGGTGTTCGACAGTCGACGCCGTGTTGCGCCTGAGGGCCGTGACCGAAGAGGCCGTGAGCTGTGGCGGCGTGCTGTTGGCGGTGTCATTAGACATCGCCAACGCATTCAATAGTCTGCCATTCAGCTGCATCAGGGAAGCACTCCACTATCATGGGGTGCCAAAGTACCTGAGGCGGCTAGTGGCAGACTATTTAGAGGAGCGTACCGTCGTGTACGAGGACCGAGAAGGTAATTTGAGGTGTCGGCCCATGTCGTGCGGTGTTCCACAGGGGTCTGTTCTTGGACCCCTCTTGTGGAACATAGGGTACGACTGGGCCCTTCGCGCCGATTTCCCCCCCGGGCTGGGTATAATCTGTTACGCAGACGATACCCTGGTGACAGCCCGGGGGGCAAACTTCCAAGAGGCGGCGCGCCTGGCCACAGGGGGAGTCTCCCTGGTGGTGGGGCGCATTGAGGCGCTGGGCTTACGGGTGGCCCTAGATAAGACGGAGGCCCTGTTATTTCATGGGCCCCGTCGTGGTCCACCCCCTGGCGCCTCAATCGTGGTCAACTCGGTCCTCGTACCGGTTCGGGCCCAGATGAAATATCTGGGCCTGATCCTCGACGGGAGGTGGCTCTTCGACGAGCACTTCCGACAGCTTGCTCCAAAGCTGGTCGGCGCTGCGTCTGCCCTAGGGCGACTTATGCCCAATATGGGTGGACCCAGCGTCGCGACAAGACGGCTGTACACGGGGGTTGTCCGGTCAATGGCACTGTACGGTGCACCGGTGTGGGCGGCGGCTCTGACCGCCCAGAATAGGGTACGCCTCTGGCGCCCTCAGAGGGTAATGGCGGTCAGAGCCATACGCGGTTACCGCACCGTTTCGACGGAGGTGGCGTGCGCGTTGGCCGGAACTCCCCCCGTGGGATTTGGAGGCGGAAGTGCTCGCCGAAGTTTATCGGCGAGTGGCTGACTCCCGGGCGGAGAGCGGATTTCGCCCTCCGCCCGAGGATGTGCGCGAGTGGCGCGAAGCCGCTCGCCGAGCCACGATGGCTCGTTGGTCGTTGCGGCTGGAGACTCCACGCGCTGGCTTCGAAGCCGTGGAGGCTCTCCAGCCGGTCATCGCCGAGTGGGCAGGGCGGCAGCACGGGACCCTTTCCTTCCGGCTGACGCAGGTGCTTTCCGGGCACGGTTGCTTCGGGAAGTACCTGCACTCGGTCGCTAGGAGGGAACTGAGTCCCGCCTGCCACCACTGCGACTGCAGTGAGGACTCGGCCCAGCACACGCTGGCGGTCTGCCCCGCATGGGCGGCGCAGCGCCGGGCCCTCACTGCAGTCATCGGAGTGGATCTCTCGCTACCGGCCGTAGTACGCTCCATGGCCGGTAGCGACAGTTGTTTTACCGCGGTCGCAACCTTCTGCGAGGTAGTAATCTCGCGGAAGGAGGCGGCGGAGAGGGCCCGGGAGGACGACCTCCACTCGGACCCGATCCGCCGCCGGCGAACCGGGCGGCGGAGGCCCGCCTATCACAGCCTCATGCCGCCCCTGAGTGTGGCCGCGGGTGGACGGGGTGGGTTTCCCCTCCACCCGCATTAGTTTGGCCAGCCGCGAGGGGGCGGCGTCCGCGTGTGCCGGACGTCGCCTATAAAGAGAGGAACAATCATTGAGACGGAGCCCGCACCAGGAGCGGGCTGGCGCTAGGAGGGATCCGGATGTCTTAATAACAGCTGTTCCCGGATCCCTCCTGTTACAGGCGCAGAGTGGCACACCGTGTGGTTTTAGTCGGTCCGAGTCCGACACACCACCCCGCCGCAAACCCCGGAGGGGTGACGGTCCGAGGGGATTTCCACACGTTAAAAAAAAAAAAAAAAAAAAAAAAAGGGTTTGTGTCAAGTTTTCCTTCTCTCAGCAGTGCTGTTGTCTTGCTTAATTTGGTCCCTTAGTCGCTTCTTACAACACCCACGCGATGAATAGGGGTGGTGATACTCTGTATTCTTAATCCGTCACCACACGGACAGAACACAACACTGGTTTACATAGGAGTTATTATTGTTTTCTTAATGATTATCCAAACGTAGTACTAAAACAACGAAGAATAATAATAATATTTCGGACATCTGACACACAACGCCATCTAGCTTCAAACAAGAGCTTGTAATATAAATAAATGGACTGATCTATCCGCGTGGTGACGGATTAAGAATACGGAATGTCGCCACCCCTGTTCATCCCGTGGGTGTCGTAGGAGCCGACTAAGGGAACAAATTACGCAGGACAAAAGCTCTGCAAAAAGAAGGAAAACTTGACACAAATCCTGTACCAACCCGTCTGGCCAGCGTGGTATAGTAGGCCAAAACCTTCTTCCTAAAGAGAGGCTTATGTCCAGCAGTGGATTATTAAAGGCTGTTGATGAAATGGACTAATAGAATTAGATAGATATATACCCAAACTACGAAAGAAATATTTGCTGAAATATTTATTAAATATAATTCGTACTTAATGCGAGTCAGTGTGTAGACGGATTTCGCACTACTGCGACGACCACAGCGAGTGCTGGCCATCAGGGTCATAAGGGGGTACCGGGGTAGTCTCTGGACCGGAATTCCACCGTGGGACCTGGAGGCGAGGGCCCTTGGGGCTCTGTGTCAGTGGCGCAAGGAGGCGCTGGAGTTGGGTCGGTGTCCTGAGTCTCGAGAAATCGAGGATCAGAAATCCCAACTCCGCCAGGTCCTAGTGGAGGAGTGGAAGGAACGAATTGGGCAACCGAGCGCTGGGCACGCCGTTATCGCGGCGGTAAGACGAGTTATGAAGGATTGGCTCGAGAGGCATCACGGGACCCTCTCATACCGGTTGACGCAGGTGATCACCGGGAATGGATGCTTCGGAGATCACCTGTGTCTGATCAAGGAGCCAACGCCTGAGTGCCACCACTGCGATGGCCGAACCGTAGAATGCCCGGAGTGGGTGGAGCAGAGGCGTTTCCTCGTGGCAGCCATCGGGGTGGGAGTTCTCTCGCTCGGTAACATGATTGACGCAATTGTACGGAGCGAGAGTTCGTGGAACTCCGCCGTCTCCTTCTGCGAGCAAGTTATGCTTGTTAAGGAGATGGCGGAACGGGACCGGGAGTGGTTTAGAACTCTCCCGGAGCGCCAGGCGCGGCAACGGGCCAGGTAACTGACCTGACCTGAATGACCTCCGTCCTCCATAAGCGCAGGCCTGGGGGTGGCAGGTGAGGCCATCTGTCACCCTAGCAGAAGCAGGCCGGGGTGATGGCGAGACGCGCTTCGAAGCGCGCACACCCCCTTTTGGGAGCACATAGGGGACATAGGGGTTCCCACACAGGAGAGGGTCTTTTACGCAAGTAGATGGCCCGAGGTACGTCGGGGTATCAGGGTGTTCCTTCCTAGGGTACACCTGGTTCCCCGGCAACTGGTACCCGAGACGGCGTGCGGTTTTTGGTCGGTTCGAGTTCGACTTAACTACCGCTGGGTGGTATCCGAGGGGATTTTCGCAAAGGAAAAAAAAAGTGTGTAGACGGATTCGGTTAAATATTTTATTTCTTTATTTATAAGTTTTTTTTTGTGTTATATTTTACTAGCCATGTACAGTTTCGCTCGCATGAACGTTATTTTGCTATAATTATTGAAACCCGCGAAAAAATAGCTAATAGTTCTATTGTATTATAATAACTATTTATTTAGTACTTTATGTGCATGCTGTGGTCTTCTAATTTAGATCAAATATCTTTGTGAAATGCATATTAAATTTTTGTGCATTTTCTTTTTTTTTTATTACAAAAAGACAACTCCCGTACTAGGAACAAATCGTGTGTCGCGGGGGACTTAACAAAACACACATGAAACGGACACAAAGAACAACAATTGGTGGATCACACAAAGTGTCGTTCCATGTGGGGATCGGACCCACAACACTCAGCGTAGTAGGAAGCGGCGTGGCGACCGCTTAAACCACTATGATGGCATAGTGGTTTAAGCAGCAGCCGTGCAGTCAGCAGAAATAAAAATAGGATTTCCACCATGGGAATGTTTTTCAAGTGCATATTTCTCTAGTATACAGGACGTGAATTAATATTAAGGATCAGAGTTAAAAGTAAAGCAATCTGCTTCTTTCAGAAAGATTTACATTTAGTAGATCAAACAAAATCAAAGACAAACATTTCTCCCGAATAAAAATTTTGAATATAAATACTGATAAACGTACCTGTACTTAGCAAAATTGGTCCACATAGTGACCATCCTCTTTATCATCTTGTCCTCCAAAAACCGGTGCGGCAACGGGAACGAATGCGGTTTGAATAGGTAAAACAACTCATCCCCATGTGACGCTCCATTACTTAGACCGAAGCCTGATATAACCTTGGGCATGTTTATTAACCCACTGTACTGGAACTGGTAGTAGTATATCGGCTGGTCCGTTGTCCTTGAATACAACTCAGACTCCAGCACCAAAGGGAACTTAAAGTGAAGGTCAGAGTACAAATTTACCATGTCCATTATCATTTCTTCTTTAGAAGGTGTAAAGTAATGACGTCTGATCTTGTCCACGGTGCAGTTCTTGTCAGTTTCAGATGGAAACTGCAGATCTCTCTGTAAGGCTTTCATGGGATCTATAGGTTTTGTGTTGTTTCTCAGACTAGTGCCATAATCTGCTGATACGAAGTAAATACCTTCGTGGTTCGTGTAACCAATTATCATGGGAACTTTTGTATAGTTGCCGGACAAAATCACGTTCGCAGGATAATCAGTTATTATGGGTTCAATTCCCTCTATGTGTCTTTCGATACAAGGTACGAATATATCAGTTTCTGCTACGCAGAATTTGTCTTCGTAATTGCTAATCGTCGTAATTATTTCTTTGGTTGTTTTCTTTGATAGAATACTATAAATTTCTCTAGGATCTTTTGCACTGTATCCCAGTTTTCTGACTAGACTCATTGCTGCTTTTACTGGGTCATGTTGAAGGGCCCAAGGTGCCAAGGACGATCCACTTTGAAGAATGGCTTTGTGAAATAAACCTTTTGCCGCTGGAGATAGAATCATAAATGAAGTGGCTACTGCACCAGCGCTCTCTCCGAATAATGTTACTTTGTTAGGGTTACCACCAAATGATTTTATATTTGCCTGGATCCATTTCAAAGCAGCTACTACATCTTTTAACCCTGCATTCCCTGGCGCTTCTTTTATACCTAAACATAAGAAGCCCTCCACGCTCAGCCTGTAGTTTATACCAACTAGGATCACATCATGTTCAGGGAAGAAATCACCGCCGTACAAATATGGTGCTCCGGTGCCACCAAAAAAACACCCGCCATGAATGTAAACCATCACAGGTAGGAGTTTGGTATACTGAATTGGCGAGTAGATGTTCAATTTCAAACAGTTGGGCTCTCCAAGAACTATTGGACCGACCGAACTTTGCGGGCACCAGGTATTTTCGTTGAGAGCGTTTAGAATTCCATTCCAAGTAGGTGCAGGAAGTGGCGCCTGAAAGAAAAGAATAGTCATTTGATGGATTAATGTAAATTTAACATGTAACTATTTTTAGAATGCTGTATAAAATATATTTTGTTTTAGTCTAAACTAAGTTAATTAATAGTAATGAACTCGCCCAAGGCGAAAAAGTTCATTTTGTGTTATATATAAATCTTTACTTGTGTTATATTTTCTTTAATAAATAGCGCAGAATGAATGAAAATAATACTAAGACAAACACTCACACCCATGGTCCTGTAGGGTAGTTAGAGGTAATTAATCATCCTAATGTGGTAACTATTATTTGATCTCTGAATGGTAGTGATAGGACACAAGCCTATGTCATTAATCCACAGTGCACTTCGAAACCTAAGAGGAAATCTTGAGAGTTTATTTAAAAGGAAAGGTACCTGGGTATAAAGGAAAGGCAATGGGTCGAAAAGGCTATTGTTTTCAAATATATGACTTTACAGAGATACATGAAACGGACACATAAAACACCCAGACTCTGAACAACAATTTGTGAATCAAAGTGTTGTCCCATGTGGGGATCGAGCATTCAACACTCAGCGGAGTATTAAACGAGTAGGTCATCGTTTAAACACGCCATCCGTGCAGTAAATGTTTATGTGGATTGACAAGTTTTGCTCAGTAGCATGTGAACTGGCAAGTCTCGAACTTCAGGGACTCTATACCTTTCAAAAATGACTTGTAGGTGAATGAATGACATCATACGACTTTTTTTAACTATAAATATAAAACCAAGAAGTTACACAGCCGAAGTGTAAGACTAATGGAGGAGATTGGAATGGCCTACATTGCCTATAATATTATAGAGATTAAAGTGGACATTGATTGCGCATGCACATAATGCAATAAAGAGTTCATGTTCTGTATTCGAATGACTTATTCTCTGACGTAAGAACGCGAGATGTTGATTTAGTATAAAAATATAATAATAGCTATAAGTATGTCAAGGTCAGAAGTGGCAATGGACATTGGATCTGTGACCTTGAAAGTGTGTGATGTAACTAGTTGATATACAGTTATTGATCCAGTTTTATTATATAACAAATAATCACATATTGATGTTTATTATAATAAACGCTTTCTTTGGCCTTGATTCGTTTATTGTGGGATGGGGTACATACGAGCAGACGGGTCACCTGCACATAGGGACTTGCACCTCAAAACTGACTGCACGGATGGCGTAGTGGTTTAAGTGGTCGCCACGCCGCTTCCTACTACGCCGAGTGTTGTGGGTTCAAACCCCACATGGGACAACACTTTGTGTGATCCACAAATTGTTGTTCTGAGTCTGGGTGTTCTTTGTGTCCGTTTCATGTATGTTTGTGAAGTCCCCCGCGACACAGGAATATATATTCCTAATGCGGGCGTTGTCTTTAAAAAAAAAAAAAAAAAGACACATATCTATGAGTGCACTCCCGTCCCAATTTTTATTTTTATTTTAAAAAGACAACTGGAATAGGAATATATCCTGTGTCGCGGGGGACTTTACAAACATACATGAAACGGACACATAGAACATCCAGACTGAGAACGATAATTAATGGACGTAGTTACACAAAAAGGATCCAATCCACAAAACTACCAAAATTGAGTTAAGTATGCCAAAAAGTCCGTGAAGGTCGATACTTTAATGCAGTAAAAAGATTACAGTGAAATACGAAACAGTGTCATTGTTATCAACACAAGGTACCAGTCCACATGTATGGCGGGCATTTGTTTTGAAGCAACTAAAACAATCCAATCTTCATGGATCATTAGTAAGAAAAAGTGTTTATTGGTACTTACTTAAAATATATAATCTTAAAAGAGATCCAATTCACGTGGATCATTTCTGATAATTATAATTATAAAAAAAATCTATACATAGTAAATCACACAAACGATCCAAAACACTTGGAACCTTTGTGATGAACATTATCAGTAACTCATAAAATAGTGTGAAATACATAAAAATAATCCAAAGCACAAGAGTTAAAAAATTGACAAAGAATTGATAATGACATACCACGCATACTCACGACCATTAATACCAATGTTGAAGTTATAAATAACAGTGATATGATAGAATGTAAATCGAATAATGAAACTCGAAATGATGCTACATACTACACAACAAGAAATAGAGAATTTATCTTCAGAAGGTCGACCAAAAAAGGGTAGAAAACGAATATATCTAAATCACACTGTTGCTCAAACTAAACAACGGAGATATTTAAACTTACCATATTATTCAAAAAAAGGCCTGTGTCCAGCAGTGGACTGCTATAGGCTGATGATGATGATGATATTATTCAAAGAAAAATAATATTCCGCCAAAAAAAAAGAATTTACCTGTAATTGTATCAAACAATGTAACCAGTTAAAACTAGAAAAAAGAAAGAAGAATTCCAAAAATTTGTTTTATTGGGTTCTTATGAAGCCCAATTATTATATATAGTAAATAATGTAGAAGAAAGACCCAAAACAAGATCTTATGCAGTCTTTAAAGAAAATAAAACAAATAAGAAAAGACCCAGAGAATACTGAAGAAAATACACTATATGTGGGGTTGAAGTTTGTAAACCCATGTTTTTGAAAACTTTTCAAAAACAACTAAAAAAATTGATGTTTCTCTACGAAAAAATCGAAATGGGTACATGATTAAAGACAGAAGAGGACTTTCACAAGGTAGTTGGAGTTCGTTAAGGATATCATAAGCTCATTACCTAAATATCAATCGCATTATAGAAGAGAACAAAGTAATGGTGTTATGTATTTGGAATTAAGAATGACGATACAAAAAATATATGATTTATACTTGGAAAAATTTGGGAATGTATACGGCAGTTCGAAGAGTTCATTGTCATAGGATACAGTAAAACGCATATTTTATAAATATTTTAATTTACGCTGCAAGACACTAAAAAAAGACACTTGCACAAGGTGTGATACTTTCACTAATAAAATAAAAAATTGTTTGTTAGATGAAAAGAAAGAAAAGTTACAACATGAAAAAGAAATTCACCTAAAAAAAGCAGAAGATTTGACAAAATATATGAACCAAGATATAGCACAGACAAAAATCTGACGAAGAATTTGAATGCTTAACATTCGATTTAGGAAAAACACTTCCACGTATACCAACCAGCATTATTTTTTATAAAAGGCAATTGTGGTTGTATAACTGTGGCATCCACGCCGGCTCTAATAATACTGGTTATTGCTATATATGGATCGAAGGAGAAGCTGGTCGCGGGGCCCAAGAAGTCGGGTCATGTTTGATCAATTTCATAAAGAACAAACTTGACCCAAAAGTAAAAGAGAGATTGAGTGATTGCTGTGGATTGATGTTGAAGGTAGTGTTAAACTCGCACCATACTCTGAGGACAATAGATTTCAAATACCTTGAATCAGGTCATACTTTCCTGCCCAATGATACTGACTTTTCCAAAATTGAAAGCCAATTAAAATTTCATCAAAGAAATTAAACTGCTGACGAGTATATGAAAGTCATTAGGATCTCCGAAAGAAAGAATCCGCTCGAAGTTAAAAAAATGGTTAAAGAGGACTTCCTGAGCTCAAAAAATATTGAAAAAAATATAGTAAACAGAAAAACTTTTACAAACAAGCAGAAAACTAATTGGTTACAAACAAAAGTGATTTCATTAAAGAAAGAAGAGAAATATATTATTTTTATGAAGAGTGAAATAAATAATGACCAGTATTATGAACTTAATATACAGAAGAAAGTAAAGGAAAATCTTTAGATTTTTCTGAAAACGACTTTATGATGTTGTGGCCTACAGGCAAAAAATCGCTCAACCTAAACTGGATGATCTGAAGTCAATGTTCCACTTAATTCCGAAAGACTGTTTAGACTTTTACAAGTCTCTTCAGGGGGATAAAAATATAAAGATGATCTTGAAGGATTCAGCGGTCAGCTTGATTTTCAGATTGAAAATGAAAGTCAGGCAGAATGAGCATTATAATGACTATGCAGAGTTTGGTTTTGATTACAGTTTAATTATGTTATCAACAGTATTGATCTCATTTTTTTATCTATTGTTTTTTTTTAAATTGATAGGTATGTTATAAGAATAATACATTTTTAGTTATTTATTAGTTATTTTAGTTATTTTTAAAGATTTCGTTAGCAGTTGATGAAGTGGAGCTTTACTGCAAAACTATCATTTTATGCTGGTCTTATTGAGAATACTATATATCAAAAAGGATCCAAGCCCTTATTTTCTTGAATATTATTGAAAATATGAAATCAAACTTAGTGAATTTGATTTATAGTTAAAATATAACAAGATTTCCTGCTAATTTTAATAAAACCCACAAATTTATGGTACCGCATCATAGAAGAATTACGACTTAAACTTTAAAGTTAAATATCTCAAAACTAGCTTCATGTGGATTGGATCCCTATCGTGTAACTACGTCCATTTGTGGATCACATAAAGTGTACTCCTATGTGAGGACGACCCACAACAATCAGCATAGTAGGAAGCAGTGTGGCGACCGCTTAAACCACTACGTCATTCAATTCAATCTTTACTCGTATTAATAAAAATATAAGCATCACAGTGTAGACCAAATCGCTTATATCTATGCTAATTTTAACAAAAATAAACTACATACTATTACAATTGTAAAACTCAGACAATCAAAAAGAAACAACATAAAATTTGTAAACAAAAACAACCTTACATCAACTTAGGAACTATAAAATGACTTTTTAAAATTTAGATATGTATAAATATGTTTTAAAATTATGCTTTGGGAGTCGAAAAATATATCTGCATCTGGACTATATATATCCGTGCAGTCAATTCTGAGGGGTGTGTTTGGTTCTCTGGTAACCTCGCACACTTAGTGAAAAGGCCCATATGGGGCAAAACATGACTCTCCCACGGTAATCTTAATTTGTATGGGTTTTCATATAATTATTTCGCTGGAGACTGTACTCTACCTGGTAGCAAATAGTGTTAAAAGCAATA